TACGCTTCTCAGAGTTGGTTTTGGTTGTGTTTCCCCACAGCAACAGAGCTAGCTAGCGAGGACAGGCGATAATTCCAGCTTAGTCATCTGTACAGTGGAAGCCTTTCCGAGGCCTCTCCCGGTGTTGGGGTAATGAAGCAAAACAGGCAAAATGCTGGCCTCCCCGCAGGCTTCTGCTTGCATTCTTTTCTCCCACTTGCATTAACTGACCACCCTCAGACTCAGACCTCACTGGAAAGCTGGATGCTTTATCCATTGAAGTCCTGGCCAGCTATTTAGGAATATTTTCCATGGTGTTGGGGTAGAGCTTGGAGGCATCTCTCCAAGTCTCCCAGGCTGGCTTTTCTGCCTTCCCAAGCAAACACTGGTTCTAAGACTTAGCCACCATTTTCTGCCAGTGACCCAGAACAGAAGGGCCTTTCCACCCGCTCTGTCCACTTCTCCCGCTGCTTACTGCAGCCCAGCCCCGGTGCTCTTCCCTTTGTGAGGTCCCTCCCCTACAGGCTCTGATTTGTCGGCTCAGATGCCACTCTAGAATAGCTCCACCACCTCGGTCACATCACCCCGTTTCTCTGCTGTACTAAGTGACTGATGTTGTCATGTTTTGTTAGTGTGCAGTAAGCCCCCAGGGCAGAGGAATCCTGCCCTGTTAGGACTACCCCAGAGACATGCTGGGTCTGAGTGCTTCTGTTGCCCACCAGGAGCTGGAGTGTGTCATTGCTGTGCTGTTTGTGCAGCACCAGACGTGCACAGGGAGCCAGCACTTTGCACCAGTAACGGTTCCAGCCCCAGAGTGTCCTCTTACCTGTGTCTCCTGCGCATGCCCTTTTCCCCAGCAGTGGCAGGAAGCCTCTCCTGTGGTTTTTGCAAGCCAGCACCCTCTGACCTCTTCCAGGCTGGGTTCTCTGACAGGAGGTACTGGCATCTTCCCTGATAGTGCTCCCTGCTCTTCCCTACCCAGTGTCCTGAATTTCAAGATAAGTGAGGCAGAAAAGTAATGTGAGTCAAAAGGTCCCAAAGATGTCAGAGCCTATTGTGTATAACCCAGTTCTGGAAGGAAAACTGGAAAATCACCTCAGTTCTTGATGCTATTAGTGTATTTTTTTTTTAATGATAATAAAGGCCTGCTTGCTCTGCCAGGCACAGTAGCCCACACCTTTAATCCCAGCACTAGGGAGGCAGAGACAGGCTGATCTCCAAGAGTTCCAGGCTAGCCTGGACTACAGAGTGAGTTCCAAGACAGCCAGAGCTACACAGAGAAACCCTGTCTTGAATGAAGGAAGAAAGGAAGGAAGAGTAGAGTGAATGAATAAGTAAATAAATAAATCTGCTGTTGCTGCTGAAATGGGCCATAAAAGACTATAGTAGCTTGAGAGGATGACATACTCCTTCAGGCCAGAAAAGTAGCAAGGCCAAAGAAGAGTAAGAACCATAATTCCCATTGCACCTGTCAGCCAGCAGATGTGTTCTGGAACTTGGCCCAATTAAAGTGCCTGGAAACCCCTGCAGCCCAGCTGAAGTAGGCGAACCCTCAGGTGGCCTTCAAGGCAGCCCTTCCCCAAGAGCATTTCCAGTCTTGGTCTCAATTCCAAATGTCCTGGTCTGAGGCCTTGCAGATTATGGCTGTGGTTAAGTTGATGAGAAGCGAGAACCTAAACCCCAAATAGCTCGCGTAGCCGGCTCTTATAAAGCACTTCTTGAGTTTCATTGTGTCCACAGAGAGGCATTACATTTTATTCCTGTTTTACAGAGGAGAAAAAAAACAAACAAACAAACACACAAGGCCAAAAGTTAAATACCTATACCTTTCCCAAAAGTACAGATGGTAGATATCAAAGTCGTTCTCGTCCACAGCACCAAGTCAGCCTCTGCACATCAGCACGCTCAGCTCTTGGATGTGAACCAAGCTGTCACAGGACCCTCGTGCAGCTGCCTGTGGCTGTGAGCAGGGATAACATAGCCAGACCTGCCTGATGGCCTTTGTCTGGGCTGCCCTGGGGACTGAGTCGCATCTGTGCGTGTGCTCTTGTTGATGTCTCAGGCTTCCCTTGGCCTCAGCTTTGCCCCATTAGCATCTATTCTGCCCTTTGTCTCCAGTGGTCTCCCGGCCATCTGGAACCTGCAAGCCCTTATCCATGCTCGGTGGGCATCCCAATGTGAGAGTCGCTTCCTTCTCCTCCCTGCTCTCCCAGCAGATTGAGAGCTCTGTCCTGAAACACCCGCATGTGACGCTGGCACAGTACCATCTCTCGCCTGTGTTCATTGCTCTTCTGCTGGCTCCTCCAAGGGGCAGTTAGCTTGCCTGCCACCAAGTCCCCGGTTCCCACGTGTCTACTTCTCCAGATCCAGGATAGGCAGGGGCTGGGAACGACTGATCGCAGTAGGTGAGGCCCTCGGATTGTGTCCACACCTCCTCGCCTGGGTCCCCATTTTTTGCCTTTATCAGAGGAGCATACAGTTTGTGCCGCTGCTCTCTCTGCCAGGGAATCTGAATTTCAGATTTAACTGGGTCTCTTTTATTTTCACTTACTAAATCTGACAACTCTGACCCGAGGGACTTGTGTCAAGCCTGAGCACAGTCTTTCCGTGTGTTCCAGCTAATCTGACCTCATTGACAGTTTCGACACCACAGCCTAATTGCTGATCCAGACGAGGCGGTAGTTACTAGTTTCAGACAGCATACATCCCAACTTGGGCCATCTGCTGTCCTCAAGACCCTGATGGAAGTTGGCTATCTAAAATAATAGTGACAGTATTAGCTACCAGTCTGTTGAGCTCTTGCTCCATGCTAAGTGTTATTAATATACTACATTTACTCCTCAGAGCAGCCCATCTGAGTAAGGAGGCTTTATCTCCCTCTAGCTTTTCTTTTAGCAGGGGGAGGGGATGTAAGTTTTTTGGTTTGGGATTCTTTTTGTTGTTCATTAAGACAGTATTTCAGGATCCAGGGATACTGTTCAGTTGGTATAGTGTTTGCCTAGTGTGTACAAAACCCTGGCATCCTATAAGACAGGCATAGTGCTTCATACCTGTAATCTTAGCAACTAGAAAGGTAAAGTCAGAAGCTTAAGGTCATCCTGGTCTATATATAGCAAGCCATCCTGAAATGCATGAGACCCCGTCTCCAAAAAAATAAAAATGCCGGAGTGGTCTCTGGCCCAGGCTAGTGTAGAACTCACATCAGTCTTCCTGCCTCAGCCTTAGCAGTAGTGTGTGTGTGTGTCTGTGTGTCTGTGTTATTGTCCCCTCCCCCTTTTAATATGTTAGAAAACTGAGACTTGCTAAGTTTATATGACTTGTCCAGAGTCATACAGCCAGTGAGGGACAGGATTCAAATTCAGCTTCCACTGGCCTCAGAACCTGTATTTTCTGACTAGTCCTTGGTAGTGTGTGGAGGATTAGTAGCCACAGGCTCATCTGGCAAGCAGGTGGGCTTCACTTCAGGATGCTGAGGGGCAGAAAACCAAGACCTGAATTCAGCGAAGAACACAGGTTCCTGGACCTGGTTACATTTCACCATGAATGTAATAACCTTGTAGTGACAGATGCACATTTTCCATGGTGCAACAAAGAAAAATTAGTGCAGAGATTCAATTATGTCTCCCATTTTTAATGGCAATTTTGCTCCCTCAATAGATTAATTAGCAGCAGAGAGTTCCTCCCCTCAAGCAAATCGCAGCACACTTTATGGCAAGAAAGGGTCCATTAAAATGCAGCTGTGTCTCATTAAGCAGCCAGGCTCCCTCCGGAGCATCGTGCCTGCCAGCATAGGCTGGCCTCCCTCCCACCCTGTCTGGGAAGACTGAGGGAGACCTCGAGGGAGCCTTCTGACCTTGGCTTGAGAGCTGGAGCAGAGCTCCAGGCTTCAGGGGAGCCCTGTGTGTGACTGTGGATGCAGAGGTGTTTGGTCTCATTGCTAGGGGAATTCAGGAACTGGCCTCTTGATGCCACAGAAGCAGCCTGGCCCCAAACTAAGGAGAAGGTACCTAGGGAAACAGCAGAGGAAATCAAATGGCTTTGCAAACCTTGGCTAATTGTTCACCCTCAGAGTAGTCCTTGGTGGTTGGCTTTCTAGCCTATTTCTTCCATTTTCAGGTGTATTTTTTGTGTTTTGAGATACACAAAAACATAGCTTTGGCCCAATGAGATGGCTCAGTGGTTCAAAGGCACCTGTGCCAACCTTGACAGCCCGAGTTCAGTCCCCAGAACCCCATGGTGGAAGAAGAGAAGCAGCCCTACAAGTTAGCTGTCCTCTGCCCTCCACATGTGCCTGCCCACACACACACACACACACACACACACACACACACACACACACACACACACACACACAAGCACAAAATACATCTCTTTTTTTTTAAAAGAATATATTTTGGCCTAGCAATGGTGGAGTGCACCTTTAATCCCAGCACTTGGAAAGCAAAAGCAGGCAGATCTGAGTTCGAGGCCAACCTGGTCTACAAAGCAAGTTTTAGGACAGCCAGGACACAGAGAAACTGTGTCTCAAAAAACCAGAGAGAGAGATCTTCCTCTTACCTGCCAACTCAACATATCACTGGAGCCAGAAAATACAGTGTCATCCTGTTGCTGTAGACAACAGTGAGGCTCAGAAAGATTCAAACTTTGACCAGAATTGCCCAGTCAATATTTACTTTTTACTCCTGGCTTGGTGGCACACGCCTTTAATCCCAGCACTCAGGAGGCAGAGGCAGGTGGATCTCTGTGAGTTCAAGGTCAGCCTGGTCTACAGAGTGAGATCCTGTCTCAAACAAAAAGGGCTTAGCTCATTCTTTCCACTTTAGTTTCAGTCATGTCTGAACAGAATTGTCCTTGTGTGGGTGAAATGGCAGTGGTTTGGGTCAGTGATAGTCCGGGTGGTCATCTGGTCAACCTGGCTCTCCCGCTGGTTACTGCAGCCTGATCTTCCCCTGGGTTGGGACAGTGCAGGGGTGGACGCCATTCTGCCAGACTTTACTGACACTGTTTCTGTCTTCTTCCAGGTACATTGAACGGAAAGCTTTTCTGGATCGAGTGGACCACAGGCAGTTTGAAATTGAGCGAGATCTCAGGCTGAGCAAAATGAAACCTTGACATTCTGGGGAGAATTAGTAGCAGCTTAATCCTATTGACAATGTGAGCTCTTCCGTGTGTCTGTGAAATATTTCCAGTGTTCATCATGTTTCCAGCAAGGCCCTTTTTCTACATTGCAGTTTGGTTTATGTATCTTAATCTCAGCTGGTTCCATCCATTTTCCTTTTTACAATTTGTCTTTAAATAAACAAATAGAAACCCTCTGTGAGGTCGGTGAAGGTGAAGATGCCACTCCCCTTCCTTGGCTCTGCTGCGACGTCCTGCCCTGTCGGGGTGGTGGGAGTTTTGTGAGGCCACAGATCTTTCTCTGACATCAACCTTTCCCAGAGACCGCTGAGGGGGCTCCCTGGGCAGATGCTGAGTCCCTGGACATTTGTTCTCAATAGATTCAGCTTCTCTCTCATGAAATTCTCATGTGTAAGGTGGGACAGTGGTATAAATTAATACTGAGTAGTTTTTTGGTTTTTTCCTACTCCCTTTTTCTCTTAAAAAAAAAAAGTCTACTTCAGATGTATTTTCTACCTCAGTGATTCTTCAGTTTTTTATTTGACAAAGGATATTCTTGCCAGTAGTGCTAGCACACACTTAGAATCCTAGCACCTGGGAGACTGAGACAGGATTGCTACTAATTTGAGGCCAACCTGGGCTATGTATAGTTCCAGGTCAGCCTAGGCTATAGCGTAAATCTTGTCTCAAAAATAGGGGGTGGGGAGTATTCTAAAGAACTATTGTCTTTATACTCCTCAGGGAAATTCCAAACCCAAACTACCTGCCTAGGAAGCATGAAAGAAGGAAATCAATAACAAACCACCCATGCTAATACAGCATTAAATCCCGTCACTTGCTCCTGGGGCATGTGAATGAGGAAGAAAGTGGGCTTCAAAGGCTACAGCTCTGTGACCTTGACCACAGGTCTGTTTTCTGGCCTGTGGATGGTGTGAGTAAGAGCAGGGTCTCAGAAGGCTGAAGTGAGCTGGTGCCAGCAGGACAAGGACAAGGAACACCACACCACTAGGTCACAGTGGGCTTCCCCATCTAGGCCTCGGATGTGTGGGCGGTGTTTGCAGCAACCAAATTGAATGGTGGCACCAGATGGCTGGCATCTCATTACCCAGAAAGAGAGTTCACAAGCTACATTTGAACTCATGGTCTGTTACATCCATCCGCAAAGGACCGTTCAGGTGGCAAGAGAGCATTTTAAGCTGGCATCAGAACAGATGGTCTCTACAGGTCTTGGGATGATGATAGAGGAAGTCTTTAACCTGAACCAGCCAGCACCCAGGACCTCCAGACCTACAAGAGACCTGTGGTGTTGTCTGGCATGTCACTCACTGCACTGGGGTGACTACTTCTCCTGACTGTTCCTGCAGTCCTGTGTGCCCCCAGCACCCTATCTCACAGTTTAAAAACCTTCTCTACAGTACATGTGTGTGTTGATGAAGTGCCTCCTTGCCTAACTCTAGTACAAGTGAACATACAAATGAGGGTACCGGTGTGTGTCAGGATCAGTAAGACAGTGGCCTCAAAGCAGCCCTGGGTCAGCGCACCACTCCGGCTGCAGGGGAAACTGCAGATGTTGCACGTAGCATTTCCAGCCTCTGTCGCAAGGGTAGGCTGAAAGGGAGGGAATTGGGACTAGCTGGCCAGTGTGCCCGCACTACCAGCCTTTGTCATGAACAGCCTTTTCTATTTATTTTTTAAAGCTGTCCCAGCAGAGTAGGGAGGTAGGAGAGCAAAGCAGATGGCCGTGTGTTGGTAGTTGCTGAGCTATTCTGAACTTGGATTTCAGTTTTTCATAAAAGCTTTTTTTTTTTTTTCTTTTTTCTGGACAGTGGTAACACACATCTTTTATCCCAGCACTATGGAAGCAGAGGCAGGTGGATCTCTGAGTTCGAAGCCAGCCTAGTCTACAGAGCAAGATCCAGGACAGGCTCCAAAGCTACACAGAGAAACCCTGTCTCGAAAAACCAAAAAAAAAAAAAAAGAAAAAAAAAAGAAAAACAAAACAAAACAGACAGAAAACATTTTTTCAACATTATCCAAGAGATTGTGTTCTATATAGGGAAGGATTTTGAAGTGCTTCAGGCTGAGCCAGAAGAGGGTGACCTGCCTCCCAACAGCTGACTCTCAGGGCCGCAAAAGTGTAGGAGAGGGCTGCCTGTTAGGAAGGAGGTCCTCTCTGCTCACTAAGATCTGCATCTGTTTCAACAGCTCGGAAAACACACTCCGCACTTCTCACTGTGACGGCAGAGTCGAGGGCCAGGACCCACCAGCAAGCCAGGCCGCCTGAACTGGACATGGCTGTTCTCTGAACCAGTGGCTGTTTCTCATAGGCATAAACCAGACAGAGGTGCCAGGAGTCTTCAGCCCTGCTGGCCACACCCTGTGCGCTGAATACAATGACTGTAGCATGGAGGCAGGGAGCTGGCTACACAGGAGGACACACGTGGGACATAGGAGGCAGACATGGGCCACCCAGGAGCTTTTCCTCTTGGTCAGTATGTACTCCTGTGTGAGCCCACCAGAGTTCTTAAAAATTGCTTTCTCAGTCACATTGTTAGCTGTCCTGATAGCCTGCTTCACTTTCAAAGGGTTAAGCCACCTTGACAAATGCCTAGCATTTCTCGATGGACCCTTGGTTCAGTCCCCAGCACTGACTCCCCCCACCCCAACCCCCCAAAAATCCTCTTTTCTAACAGTTTGAACCATGGTAGACACTATCTAACCCAGTTTATAAAAATGTATGAAAAAAGTATTTTATCTAGCTCCTCACATCTGTGTTTAGTGGAACCCAGCTCCCACAGAGATGATGCCCTTTATTCAGGAGTTAGGAATGGTTCAATGTTTGTGGGGACCTGTGAAGGATGAGTCAGTACTGGGGACAGTTTGGAGCCCTTTGTGGGTCTGGTGGCCCAGTGCTCTGCTGGCCCTCACCATGGGCCTATTGACTAAGGAGGTGTCTAAGGGCCCTCTATGACTGATCCTGTGGAGCAGAGACTTAGGAGTTGAGTTCTCTGTCCCTGCCCCAGTCCTTTGTCTTCTCTATGTCCCAGATGGGTGTGTCAGAATTCCAGAGTATCTAGTACCTTTTAATTAGGGGGTGTGGGGGGGAATTGACTGCCCTAGAGCGGTATGAGGTCAAATAATAAAACAAGCCTCTTTCTATACTCTGCTCACCTACTTCTTGAGGAACACAGTGCTCTAATTAAGAATTGTGCACAAGGCCTCTAGGGGCTTACAGGGACACATTAAGAAGTAACCTTGAGTGTAGTGTACACTGTGAAGCTAAGGAGGAAGAAAGACACTGAGGCCTTGGCCAATATTGAGCCAGGGTCTGTCTGGCATGAGGAATGTGCCATGCGGCCACTTAGCCGAATGGCCTGCATCCCTGGAGGACCAGAGACACCTTTGGAGAGAAGTGGAGACAGGGTGCGTTCCACCGCTCAGGACTGGGAAGACTGCGTGACAGGCTGTCCGGAGACTGTGCTACCTTGTGGTTAGTGTGGCAAGGTGTCTGAACGTGTGTAGTTTGGTTGGTGTGGTCTGTCAAGGCAGGGCATGGTAGAAGGGTCTAGCACACTCCAGAAGATACAGTATTGTGCCTTTTGGTACCAGTCCCTCATGAGAGTTAGAAGTACTTAGGTATGTTGGTAAGACATGGCTGATAGTTTGCAGCACACAGAACTGGTCACAGAAGTGATTTGAATGTGACAGTGACAGGTCAACAGACCAGAAAGCTCCTGGTATCATCAACAAATAAAACCATTTCTCAGGATCACCCACCCCAACATACATACATACACACTTGCACGCACACACCACACAGCCTCAGCACGGCCCCATTTTCCACGGGAGGAAACTTGCCTGGAGTCATCAGGGAACTGGCCAGAGCGTGCACACATCATGTTTCACAGCACGCTGAACAGCCTCTCGGTGCTGTTTGGTTCCCGCAGCCATGTGAGTGTTGGGGAACTTGTGTTGGGAGAGGAGTGTCGGGACAGAGGGACACACAGAAATGTCTGCGGTGGAGGGGACAGCATAGCAAAGTCAAGGACACACAGGCCCCCCAGCCAGGGCAGCGTCTGAGACTCTGCTGGAGGGGTAGGTGTGCCCCTGAGATCCCTCAGACATCTTTGGCCTGGACTGAAAGAATGGAACCAGGTATCACGTCGAGCTCTGTTGTGCTGAGGTAATCAGATTTGCCTTGAACATTTCCATCCTGTACTATCGCATAGTGATGAGCTTTCTAGGTAGCAAGCTTTCTCTATGTCCCATTGAGGCTGGCAGGCATTCCAACTGATCCCCTGCCTCAATGGCTCCAGGAGCAATTCTCAGAAGAGTGGTTCAAAGTGACCAGTTTAAAAAAAAAAAAAAAGGGTGGCACTGGCGCACACCTTTAATACCACTGCTCGGGAGGCAGAGGCAGGCAGATCTCTGAGTTTGAGGCTAGCCTGGTCTACAGATCAAGCTCCAGGACAGGCTCCAACACTGCACAGAGAAAACCCTGTCTTGAAAAACAAAAAAAATAAATAAAATTCCAAGTGGAGGGTAGCAGTGCACACCTTTAATCCCAGCACTTGGGAGGCAGGGGCAGGCAGATTTCTGGGTTCAAAGCCAGCCTGCTCTCCAGAGGACTACACAGAGAAACCCTCTCTCGAAAAACCAAAAGAAAAGTGTCCTGTCAAGTTGCCCCCCACTCTACTTTAAAAAGCAGATTTGAGAGGCTAGAGGTGGCTTATTGGCACTTGCTGCTCTTCCAAAGACCCAGATTCATTTTCAGCACCCACATAAAAGCCGACAACCACCTGCAACTCCAGTTCCTGAGGATCCTATGCCCCCTCCTGGGCTCTGCAGGCTCCAGCCATGCCTGTGGTACACACACATAGCATGCACTCAAAACACCCATACACATAAAATAAAACCAAGTGTAAAAAGCAGGTCTGAGGGGCTGGAGAGATGGCTCAGTGGGTAAACATAAGAACCGGAGTTTGGATCTTCAGCACTAAGGTAAGAGCCAGTAAAAAAGCCCATCTGTGATCCCGAGCATGACAGGATACAGGGAGTCAATCTCCGGGGTGCGCTGGCCAAACAGTCTAACAAAATTAGCGATGTCCAAGTTCAGTAAGACTCAAAAAATAGGGTGGAGAGAAACTGAGGAAGAGTCCTGATGTCAACCTCTGGCCTCCCACACAGCATGAGTGCACACAACCACCACACACACACACACACACACACACACACACACACACACACACACACACACACACAGCTTAGGGTTGGCTGGGGGAGCTGAGGAGACTGGGTCAGGCCATGTGCCTCTTCCCAGAACAGCTGTGTTAGGACTTGTACTAGTTGATGGTGAAGCCCATCAAGGCCGAGCTGGCCTTCCCTCACTGACAGCCCTGACAGACAGACGCACAGAGATGGGTGGTGAACAGCCCATATGTTAGACACTGCAGCAGGCCCCGACTTGTTAGATGACAAATAAATGGTTCCTGACTTGGATAAATGAGTTTTAAATCTGTAGATACCAACGTGAATCACAGTCTGTGTCCAGGTTTTCTAGCAGAAGTTACGTATGGAATGGTCTGTATTCACATACCCAGTATCCTAATCTGTCCCCAAGCCCTTAGGTCACTGGAATGGCTTGAGGCTTCAGAGGGTGCCCTCACCCAGTGGGGAGTCCGGCTGAAATGACTGAGGGCATGAAGGAATGTCACTGTCCTTTGTCCCCTCACCAGTGCCCTATGAAACACTGACTGACCAATGAAGACACTTGTTCTTTTTTGCTTTTGTTTGCTTGGGCTTTATTTTGTTTGAGACAGGGTCTCCCGTAGCCTAGGCTGACCTTGAACTTGCTCTGTAGCTGAGGGTGATCTTGAACTACAAATCTCCTACATCCACCTCCCAAGTACTGGAATTACAGTTATGTGCCACCATGCCCGGTTTGTGTGGTACTGGGAATCAGGCCTAGGTAGGGCTTCGTGCATGCTGGCAACTTCATGCACTCTAGCAGCTGAGCTACAGCTCCTGCTTTGGTTTTTTGAGGTACAATTTCCTGTAACTCCAGCAGGCCTGGAACTACTGTGTAGTCAAGGATGGCTTTGAATTCCTGATCCATTGGCATCCACCTACAAAATACAGGGATTACAGGAGTATGTCATCATGCCTAATTAGAAGACATTTTTAAACTCTGAAGATGCCATCTCAGACTACCCCTTTTTACGCTGGTTAATAGGTCTCTGTTCTCTTAACTCCATCCTGGGATTTTTCAATGTGAAATTCAAGAAAGGGAACTTCCCTTTTTTGTTGTTTTCTGGTTTTTCAAGACAGGGTTTCACTGTGTAACAGCCTTGGCTATCCTGGAACTTGCTCTGTAGACCAGGCTGGCTCACGCTCACAAAGATCAGCCTGCTGGGATTAAAGTCGTGTGCTGCTGCTACCACCACCACCCACATCAGCATGATCTTCTGTGTGCCAGAGCCAGCTGCAAACAACTGGCCCTAAGACGGGCTTGATTAGAGTTCCTAACACCTTTAATCCCAGCAGAGGCAGAGACAAAGCGGAACTCTATGAGTTCAAGGCCAGCCTGGTCAACAAAGTGAGTTCCAGGACAGCCAGGAGTGTTACCCAAAGAAAAACCAAAAGAAATAAGAGTTCCTGAAAACCTTGGAACCTTGGAATTTGCCCTCTTCTGAATGCTAATGAAGGGCCCTGTGATTGGAGGGTTAGACCTTTTAGCCTTTGCTTGATCTCCAGGGAAGAGAAATCAATCACCGGTGGCCAGTGATCTAATCAGTCCTAACAATGTAATGAAATCAACATTAAAAACTACGAACAAGTTCTGGAAGTTGGGGACAATCCATATACCAAGAGGATGTTGTACTCCTAAGTGTTGAGGACAGGCTTCTGTGCCCAGGACCTTCCAGCCCTTACCTACTTCGTGTTTGGCTGTTCATTCGCAGTCTGTGTAATAAACTTGTAAGTAGGGAAGTTTCCTGAGCTTATGAGTTCTAGAAAATTACCAAACAAAGGGGAAATGGTCATGGGAGCCCCCAAATTTGTAGTCAGCTGGGCGGAGGGGTGGATAGCCTGGGCACTCATTTGTAGTTGGCATTTGGGACAGGGCTTGTGGGACCAAGCCCTTATCGTGTGGGAAGTTAGTATCAGAACTGAATCAGGTTGTTGGCTATCCAGTTGGTGTTAAGAGAATTGGCTAGTTTGGAGAAAACCCACACATATCACTTTTGTTTAACTCGTCCCCTAAATATTGCATCATATTGAGGGACCCTATGATGTGTAAAGACACCTAGACTTAAACTTAGCTCTGCTGACCAGCCCTCTGCCCCTCCTGACCCCATTCCTACCTCTACAAAATGAAGGGGTGCATTGAACAATCTAGGTGGAGTTTTGTTTTGTAGTTTGGGTCTCTCTTTTTTGTGTTAAGAGATGGGATCTTAAGCCGGGCTTTGGTGGCACTCGCCTTTAATCCCAGCACTCAAGAGGCAGAGCCAGGCAAATCTCTGTGAGTTCGAGGCCAGCCTGGGCTACAGAGTGAGTTCCAGGAAAGGCTCCAAAGCTACGCAGAGAAAACTTGTCTCAAAAAATCAAAACACACACACAGAGAGAGAGAGAGAGAGAGAGAGAGAGAGAGAGAGAGAGGGGATCTGGGATCTTGGGGCTGGAGAGATGGCTCAGAGGTTAAGAGCTCTGGCTGCTCTCTCAGAGGTCCTGAGTTCAATTCCCAGCAACCACATGGTGGCTCACAACCATCTGAAATAAGGTCTAGCTCCCTTTTCTGGCCTGCAGGCATAACATGCAGGCAGAATGCTGTATATATAATAAATCTTTTTTAAAAAAGAAAGAGATGGGATCTTATTGTGCTGCTCATGCTAACACTGGGTTGTTGGGCTCCAATCATCCTTCCTCAACCACTCAAATGAAACTGCATGTGTGTTACTATCATTCAGCTCATCTTGGAAATGAATGAGCAACCAGGTGATGGTTTAGGTACACCAGTATTTGAGAACTACTACGTATGGCCCGCCTATATAAAATATGTCAAAGCCTTCAGCTATATATTTGAGAAAATTACATCTCCCTTTATCCTTACTGTTTTAAATAATTCACATTCTTAAATTCCTGTCACATCAGCAAAACCACAATG